GTTGGTTGGTTGGTTCGTTGGTTGGTTGGTTCGTTGGTTGGTTGGTTCGTTGGTTGGTTGGTTCGTTGGTTGGTTGGTTCGTTGGTTGGTTGGTTCGTTGGTTGGTTGGTTCGTTGGTTGGTTGGTTCGTTGGTTGGTTGGTTCGTTGGTTGGTTGGTTCGTTGGTTGGTTGGTTGGTTGGTTGGTTGGTTCGTTGGTTGGTTGGTTCGTTGGTTGGTTGGTTGGTTTGTCGTTTGCTCGGTTGGTTGGTTGATCGGTTGGTCAGTCGGCCGGTAGGTCTGTAGGTTAGTTGGTTGGTTGGTTGGTTGGATGATGGGTGAGCGGGTGAGAAAGCAGGAAAAGAAAAGGGGTGTCTCGGGGATGATACGTCTTCAGTGGCTTAGACGCCAGCGGTGGTCTTGGCGAGAGCGATATCTTAGAAAAAAGTCGCGACTCGTTGACAAGGCGCCTTCTTCAGGGCGTCCATGAAGAGAGGCGCGCATCTACACCCGCCAGCGATCAGCGGCAACTCTCGTACAACTGATCGCGAAGACCGACGGTGGGGGCGAGGGTGAAGGAGGCGATGAAAAATTGGCAATGTGGAGGGGGACGGGTACGAGTAATGGAACGGGAAATGGGGTAGGGATGAGGTTGGTTGGGTGGAGGGGGTAGGGGCAGGGGGAGGGGGGGGGAGAGGTGGCAGCGGCCACGGGCAATGTGGTGGAGTAAAGCGAAGGACAGACGGGGAGGTTGATCGACGACGGCGACAGCGACAGCGACAGCGACAGCGACGGTGACGGTGGCGGCGGCGGCGGCGGCGGCGGCGACCCTCGCGAGTGGCGAATGTAACTTGGCGGCTGGAGAGCGATCGCTGACTGGTCGGTCCCTTCGGGTAGGGTAGTAGCAGCTCCGTTTCTCCCGCCACCGAGCCGGCAAAGCTGGCCACTTTTGCGCCAATTTTTGAACTTTTTGAAGGGGGCCCCTCGTCGACTGCCACACTTGAACTGTCTGTCTTCTCGCGCCAACTCTCACCGCCACGGATTTTAATGCGCAGTGACTCAATAATAATAATGCTTATCGACGTCTTCGCCTTTATCGACACGGAGCGTATAAAACAACGGACTCCAGCCTAGAGTTAAATGTGCCATTCGCGCAACGGAAACGCGATGATCTATTTAGATGAGTCGAACGTTCGCCTTTGAGGTTTACCAACATGGCCATGCAAATTACAGGCCGCCGCTGTAACGCACTATTCTTCATGCGGCTCCCTTGTCAACTCGACGTTTCAATGTCAATTCGATATCGAAATGCGCTTTAAAACTCTCGTTTTAATCGGGGCACTACGAGCGAGCATTGCCGCGCGCGTGATTGGCGGCGTTAGATTGGGAAAACTGTTGCGTCGTCGGATGCTGAGGTGAGTCAAATTTTAGCGCGCGCTTTTTGTCAAGGATATTGGTAAGGCTTGTCGAGGAGTGTATGTGCAAATTGCGCGGGAAAAAGCTAAGTTTAAAAATGAATTTGTCTCTTCGAATGTGCCATTCGCATCCGAACGCGTGAAATTGGCCGGAAATTGGAGCGGCAAGAGGGGGGGGGTGTGAAAAACGTTAATGCTATTGTAAATAAAGTGATTTGGATTTTTCAAACGATGTATTTGAAATTTAGATGATAATATTAGTGTATTTGAATGTTTCGCGATCGATCGCTACATAGGAAATTTGCATAGAGAAAAGCTTCTTCAAAACTGTTTATTTCTCATTGAAATCGTCAATATTATGTAATAATCAACGTTATGATTCCTTCATTTATTGATATTTAAGAATTGTGATAGCCGATCGTGGAGATACATAATTTGGATGTAATCGACGAATGACAATTTTATTATAAGTCCAGCCATTCGGTAATATATTGACACTTTATTGGCGTCACGTCACCGAAATCGCAACAATTTTTTCTCACCTGCAATATGCAATTTAACGATTTACAACGGAATATTGCAAACGATAGAAGATCTTAAATAATACAGTTGCTAATATGATAATATTATAATGAAGCTCGATACTAAAGCTCTTTGCATATTATAGAATCTACGCAGACTTACGGGGCATATACCGCAAGGACTTTTAACGAGTCCCGATGAATCTAATAGAGGTCTTATAGCTCTATAAAAATTACTTCCGTCGCTTGAAATCATCTTTTCTACTTTTCCATCATATATCAATGTATTTAAAATCATTTCCAAGTCCTCTATCGATAGTTTCACCTTAAAAATCATTATAAAATGAGAAAACTTTTACGTAACGCTTAAACAAAAACTAGTGTAAGCACTTGCTTTACTTATCCCCAAATCGGAAATAAATTTCCACACTTCTTTGGACGAAGCGAACGTAGCGTTCTTTTCCGCTATAGGCCCGTTAAGATAATCCTTCGTGCTGTCTCTCTTTTGCTCCAAAAATCTATAACATTGTTGATTTAAAACATCGACAAATTCTGCTTCAAAGTCTTGATCTTGATACCATGCTCCACCAGTCACAGATCTATCTGGCTCTAAATTATATAACATATAGACTTTTTTCTTACTAGCTGCAACAGATTTTACAGCTTTAATGAACTTCTTTGTTTCAAGACTCTTTAAAATCTTATTCAACTGAGTTGGCATTAAATTTGATTTGAATCTTATATCTCTAATCCAAATCCCTTTGTTCCCAGCGTCTTCTATAATGGTATATACAATTTTCTCTTCGTTATCCGCACCCTTTGCCGTTCTAGCTTTTGATGGATCTTTCAATTTGTACAATAAAGTCTCGCCTTGTTTGAAAAGATCGAAGAAACCTTGCGCTAAAAGTTTATTTATGGCTTGCGCTTTCTGAATTGGCTGCAGATCCGGCATTTCAATTGAAATGTCTTTGTCCGATATACCTTTTGGTTTCAATTGGGCAAGATTAATTATTCTATATGGAAATAAATATAATAAAATTATAGTTAAACTGTGATCTTTACACTTGTTATAGATAAAATGTCCACTTACTTACTTTTGTGTTATTGGATCATGTTGTTCTGATTCCCTGGAACTTTGTTTATCCGCATGTTCTAAATTCAGGTCCATCGCTTGCAAAAAAAAAAAAAAAAAATACAAAACGAATACTAACACATGGCTGACACGTCTACATTCTAAATTCGTTTTTATAATAATTCAAAAATACATTGCACCTTTTTCAATAGCTATTGAATTTTTGTCGCTACATCTATCATTACTGGTTAAGTTTAACCTTTGATCTCATCTGTCGCACCATAACCTCTTTTTCCCTTTTTAAATGCATAGACCATAAAAGGAAGGGAAGAAAAAAAAAAAACAGAAAATATAGAGAAATCAGCTGTCACTAATGAGAGATGACGAGTGTAGTTTTATGCGACTTGAACTGATGTTCTGACATCGTTGCAATGCTGTTAACATAAATAACTGTTACAAATTATACAAATCAATAACGATGAATTTATCTAATAATAATGAGGAGACATTTGAATTAGCTTCGAAAACATGGAATCGAGTAATCAATTCCGCAACTAAAGTAATCAAATTTAATTATTCGATGCAAATTATTATTACAATTGGCAATGCATGGTTAGCAATGTGAATGGTTGAAGTTCAAATTTTATTCTTCTTTCTTCTAATTTCAGACAGGCTATCGAGAGGGTATCAAAGATGGTTCGCTGTCGGTTTTCCAAGAAGGTTTTGATAGAGGCTATAAAGTGGCTTTCAAAACATCATTTCTCATCGGAGTTTATAAAGCGCTTGCAAACTGTATAGCAACAAATTTGGAACATCCTATGGAAATTGAAAATATTTTGCATGCGACTAAAAAAGGTGTTTGCTATTTGTGTGAAACGAAAACTAAGGAAGATAAAGATATGCATGAAAAATCAATATCCGAAATAGAATGTTATCAAACTGAACACTCCGATAGAATTTTAAAAGTCTTACAAAATCATTATAATCCACTTTTAAAAGAATTGAATATTAATCCTGATTTTTTAAACTTTTATACCTAATTAAATGCAGTATTGTCCACTTGATATTTTAACAAAGTTTTTTAATGTAAATTTTTTAAATGTTTATAAAAAGTTAAATGTAAGATTTGATAAATGAAAAACAGATAAAATCAACAGATAAAATAGTTTATTCTATATTAAGATTTATAATGCAAGACCAACATAAGCATAATGAAAACAAACCCACGTACATATTTTATTTGCACAATTAACAATAATTATTTTTTTACATCTAATTAAAATTTTTATACTTACTTTACTTATTTTATTATTCATCCTTGTAACTCATTCCTTTTAATATGTTATGGTATAATAATTATTCTTATCTCTTGTTCTGAACATATTTTTTTTTACATGCACGTGTGCAAAAATAATGTGTAGATTTTGTTTTGTCAGCTATCTCTTGATATTTTTTACTATCAAAACATTGCAAAACTTCATTATGATACAAAATTAATGCAATCTATGAATTTCAATATTATAACTAATTAACTATGCAGACGTAGTATGACTTACAAATCACTGTTACTATGTATACTATTGTAGTTTAAATACTATGGAATATAGTTGAGAAATTATAAAACAGAGTTGAATCAGGCAAAATTAAGTATTTAGTAAATAACGATTATAATTTTAATTTCAAAATTTTACCTTATAAACTTAAGTCTAAGCTGTATATTAAGCATTTCTAAAAGGAAATTAACAGATTGATTGATTAATGTATTTTATAATACTGAATAATATTTTTTCAAAACTTCTAGGGAAATGTTTATTAATGTAATAAATTATATGTATAATACAGTAAATTTTGGATATACATACAAATAGAAATTATGATATTGTAATAAGCGAATCATTATTTTTAAACAAATTTTATTCGAATGTAACCACACCAATATAAAAGCTACTTTCTAATAAAATATAACAATCAATTATTTTAAGAACTAATAGTTCATTGTGCAACCCCAAAAAATAAAAAAATATTAAGAATACTTTGATTAGAATATAATGGATATAAAGATGAAATAAAAACAATTTTCAAGTATTGTTGATTAATTATTTATAATTGAAAAATAGCGTATGAAATCAATACATGGCAATATTCTATCAATTGGATTTTTAATATTTTTTATTTTGAAGATTTAAAAATATTTGATAAATCTATAAAATAATAATTGTATCTAGCCTGCATAATTAAACATCTTACCTATATTTCGTTTAAATTTTTCTTTATTCTCTAATTTGATAGAATAAATCAATATTACTATTAAAATTATGCAATCGTTAAAAATCATTTACTCTATAGATTCGCTTTAAAAAACTAAATAAATAAATTAATACAATATTATAAATTATATTCTAATGTTTGATATTCTTGAGGTTTAAAAAAAATTGAAATTGAAGCAATGAAATAATTGTCTTTAGTCCATTTCCTTTTACAAAAAATCATTATGGTTCTTAAAATAAATTAGTATTATTAAACATAAATTTTAAAAAAACAACGTTTAATCAATTTTTATTTCAAGTATATTTTTGATAAACATTGAAAAATGAAACCTAGTGAATAAAAAATACAAAATTATATTTTTTATAAATATAAACCTTCTGGAGAACCTTCTTTTTTCCTATATAACACGCTTTCCTTTGACTTCTTAAAGTCTTCGCTAGTGACTTTCATACGACGTTCTCTTAATGCCATTAAACCAGCTTCTGTACATACTGCCTAAAATTCAATTTTTGTCTATTAATATTTAATAGAGATAAATGATTTTGGTGATAATTTAAAATACTATTTTTTCCAGTACATATTTTAATAACAAAACTTGATCTATTAAATATACACTGATGGACATAAAATACTGACCTTAATATCTGCACCTGACAGGTCATCCTTAGCCATTATTAATTCAGTAAGATTAACATCAGGTGCTAAAGTCATTCTACTAGTGTGTATACTAAAGATTCTCTTTTTGGTTTTCTCATCTGGTAATGGAAATTCTATTTTTCTATCAATACGACCAGGTCTAATTAAAGCAGGATCTAATGTTTCAATTCTATTAGTTGCCATAACCACTTTAACATCTCCCCTACTATCAAATCCTGAAAAAATTGAAAAGATTAAGTAATAAGAAGCATTATATTCAATTTTTAATTTAATATATACCATCTAGTTGATTTAAAAGTTCGAGCATAGTTCTTTGAATCTCCCTTTCTCCACCACTATTACTATCATATCGCTTTGTACCAACAGCATCGATTTCATCAATAAATACAATCGAAGGAGCATGCTCCTCTGCTACGCGAAACAATTCTCTAACAAGTTTTGGACCATCTCCCAAATACTTTTGAATAAGTTCTGATCCTACAACTCTAAGAAAAGTTGCCGAAGTCTGATTAGCAACTGCCTTGGCCAATAACGTCTTTCCAGTTCCAGGTGGACCGTACAAAATAACTCCTTTCGGTGGTTTTATACCCATTTCTTCATAATATTCTGGATGAGTCATTGGAAGTTCAACAGATTCTTTAATTTCTTGGATTTGAACCTCCAGACCACCAATATCAGCATAAGTTTCTTGGGGCGCCTTTTCTAATTTCATTACAGTTACCATTGGATCTGTATCGTCACCTAAAACTCCAACTACAGCATGAACCTTATGATTTAATAAGACTGAACATCCCGGCTCTAGCTGATCCTTATCAACAAAAGAAAGAATGGAAACATAATGTTCTGAACCAACCGAAGTAGAAACAATAGCATGATTATCGTCAATAATTTCTTCCAAAGTGCCAACAGACATAGGAGTTCCTCTCAGATCATCTACTTTAGATCTTTCTTCTTCGTTCTTTTCTTCTTGAGGTTTCAAACGCTCTTGATTCCTAATGAACTCCTCCTCCATTAATAGATAATCTTTAATACGGTCAAGCTTTAAAAGCTTCAATCTACATCTTGTATGAGGAGTGACTTGAGGCAACTTTAAAGCTGCATCTGGCCCTTTTGTCCTCCGCTTTTTCTTTCCAACTCTTGTTGGAACTGGGGGTTCATATTTCTTCTTTTTGTCTTTATCATCTTTCTTGTCTCCACCAGTTCCACATGGACCTGATTGATTTTGACCCTGTGTAAGAAATAGAAAAACATAAAAATAAATGTTGATCATAAACTTAGGTTAATTTTTGTTTAAACAACGAAATTAATGCTTTTACATCAAAATGAAATATTTGTAATGATTAACAAATTAACATCATTGTAAAATTGATAAAATATTGAAATATACCGTTTATAATAAAATGTTAAACTTACCATTTTTTATAAGCTACAATAATCTTAGAAATCACAAAGTCATTCGACAACCCATAACCGCCATCTTAATTTTAATTTCGATATATTTCGATACACATGATTTTTAAATATATATTTCAAAATACTTTTCTCTAATCTATTTTACAGAAACTAAAAAAATTTGAAAATGTATTCGTTCTCATCAAAATTATTATAAACAAAGCGAATTATAAATATTCATTTACAACTATAGATTAAAAAAATGTTTATTCTCACCTGAAATTTATAAATAAATTTTTAATATTTTAATTAATTTAATTTATATATTAAATATATATATAAAATATCGATACTATTAATATTAACACGATTCAATATAAATTTATCAATAGAAAATAAAATATTGCATTTTTTTTAAATAGTTGAACTATTTAAAATTATTGAAAAAGAAAAAAAATACTTTTTGCAATTATTTGTATATAATAAATAAAATCATTATATTAATAATTATTATCTTTATTATCTTGCTCTTAAGTACAACTATTTATAATATCATGTTATAAAATGGTACTTGTAATCGGTCTTCACTCCTTTTTGACACCTCAATTTTATTATTAATGCTCGTCGATATTTAAATAAATATAGTTAATATAAATTTGTATCAGTACTCTTATATATTCTAAATGACATTTAAATTTTAATGTAATTTATTTCAATAGTCTTATGTATGCCATTTAATATAACATATCTATTTGCCCGATAAGACTAATTAATTAAATTATAATTTTTATTGTGAACTTTAAACTAACAAATTGAATATAGCTTCTGCATATCCTCTTTATCAACGGGTTAAATAATACAAACTTTAATTGTCGATACATATAATTATTTACAATTTTTTATCTCGAAGAATTTCTTTGTAATTTAAAATTAGAAAATTTTTCCTTTTCCGCTGTAAGAAATTGTTTCGAATTCTGATGTTTCAATAAATATATTTTAAAAAATAAAATACAAGGAGGAACTGTATTTAAGAAATAATGTTCTTATATTAATGATTACAAATTTCATGGATATTTAAAAATGAATAATACATTTCCTCAAATACTAAAATTATAATTTACTTTCAGGTCATATGTTAAATATTAATATATTATTTCCATTAAAATACTTTATTGATATTATCAAACTATACTTGCAATGTAACTTGTAGTAGATTAAAAAAATAAAATGAAGTATATTGTAATATGCATTTTAATATTTAAGAAAATGTATTATTAGATAAATAAAAATATATTTTTAATAAAGAAATACTGCTAGTTGAATAAACTCTTAAATTTCTTCATAATTTAACAAATTGCTCATTTTTACTTTCGATGAATCATAATTGTATGACTTGATATTAAGGTTCTAGGGATAAAACTTTTAAACTGGCTTAAAAAATAAATTAATATGATATGACACTGTACATAATTCGTAATTCTTAGTACGTAATTCTTAGGAAAAAAAAAAAGGGGTGCTTAAAGCCATTGAAAGAGATGTCTATTCTAGAAGCTTTTAAAGACCAGCTAAAATAATTCTAGGATCTTCAACCGCTTCTTTAATTTTTCTCAAGAACATCACAGCCTCACGTCCATCAATCAATCGATGATCATATGTTAATGCAATGTACATCATGGGTCTAATGACAACCTGAAAATCAATCATTAAGAAAGTATTAAAAATTTTATAAACATCTCAGCCTATTTATAAATATTAAATATAATATTCTCCATGTAATACCTGGCCTTTAACTGCAACTGGCCTATCAAAAACACCATGCATACCAAGAATTGCACTTTGAGGTGGATTAATTATGGGAGTTCCCATAAGAGATCCAAAAACACCACCATTACTTATTGTAAAAGTTCCACCATCCATATCCTCGATCGATATTTTGCCTTTTCTAGCTTTGTCACCAACAGCAGCAAGAGCTATTTCTATTTCTGCAAAGTTTTTGTTTTCTACGCTTCGTAGCACTGGTACAACTAAACCTTTTGGTGTAGCAACAGCTACGCTAATATCGACATAATCTCTATAAACTATATCAGTACCATCGATAACGGCATTGACCACGGGTTGTTCTTTTAAAGCATATGCCGAAGCTGCGATAAATGGACTCATAAAACCTAACTTAAGTCCATATTTTTTGTTGAAGGCCTCTTGCTTTGACTTACGAAAATCTATAAGTGCGCTAAAGAAATTAAATAATATATGATTTAGTTATAAAATACGATATTAACTAATAAGGCATTATCGACTAACCTCATATCTAATTCATTGAATGTCGTTAACATTGCATTAGTATTTTGAGCGTCCTTCAAACGTTCAGCAATACGAAGTCTCATTCTGTTCATCTTAACTCTTTGCTCAGTTCTAGTTCCAATAATCTCTCGTGAATAATCTTGCGGAGGTAATTGCACTTTTGCACCTTCCAGAGACTAAAGATAATTCAATTACATTAAATTAAAACAAAATTGAGAGCTAGGCATATTTCAATGTTCATGTTTCAATATGTTGGATTGACTTTTTACCTGAGCATGTTTTATAGCTGCTACTGGCATAGATGCTTTTGGAGCTTGAGGTGGTGGTGGTGCTGATGCCGGGGACGACGGTGGTGGTTGCGGTGGTGATGTAGGAGCTGGTTGTGGCGGTGGCGGTGGTGCAGCAGCTTTTGTCGGTGAAGGGGGGGGAGGAGGTGACGGTGCTGTAGTTTTAGGAGCTTCGGCTTTGGGTGTTGGCGATACATTGCCGGTAGCCCCAACTTCGATGGTACATAATTTTATTCCGGGAGTAACGGTATTACCATCTTTCACTAATAAGCTCTTAACGACTCCAGCTACGGGAGATGGTACCGGAATCGATGTCTAACGAAGGACAATAATTTGAATATAATTAATAAGTTAAGAATATTATTATAATTTATTAAAAAATAACTCAATGTACCTTATCAGTTTCGATTTCGCATAAAACATCATCTTCCTTTACTTGATCACCAATTTTTTTATCCCACCTTACGTCTCCTTCGCTTATACTGTCAGCAAACGGGGGCACTACGACATCTTTTATCTCCCCTAGAGCATTAAAAAACGAGCCATTAAGTTTTGTGAAAAGTCATAAAATATTATTTTAATAATACTTACATAACGACGATGTTGCTTGTATATATCTTGATTGAATACTCCAACGGTTAAGCACGCGAGGGTTATTGTGACTAATGGGAAATAAAAATTATACACGCGTTGTAACCAGCGATCGTCTATGCAAATATATAAAACTCACCGCTGTACAATTCCATCATAAACTCTATGTGCTCGAAGATTCGACGAAGATCCTGCAATATAAATTTGCTATAATAAAATGCATTGGAATAATAGTGCGCAATATTATTTTAACAAAAAAACTTTGGTTCCTTCTTACCTCCTTGGTACAACGTCCTAACTACCTAAAAAATATAAAATATAAAATTTCTTTGGTATTTCGAAACACACTGGCATAATAAAAATAGAAAACTTATTGATAGTATGTACGTTATATACAAATAGATAAATTTGAATGGCCTTAACAGAGTTTTCGTCTAGGTCACGAGTGTCGAAAGGGCAGGAGCCAAAAACAATTTTTTTTTTTTGCACACATAATATTCTCCGTCGATTATATAACATTCACCGAAGGTTCGAAATTTGGAAACTAAGTGCTGAAATGTATATTAGCCAAAGATCCATGCACGTAGTACGAAGGCGTTGAAAACGTAAATATAACACCGGGGGACAGTGATACGAGTCCTTAAATTTCGTCTTCGAATTCAAAATCGAATGCTATTGTGAAGCGATTCTTACCTTGGACTGTAACATGGTTAGGCGTCTTAGGACGTGCGGATTGATCCGCGAAGAATTATAAAGTATTCCGGACATCCTAAGGCAGATATTCGGACTCCGTAACGCCCGTTCTCGTGACGGAGGGAGACAGCACAGCACTCAGGACCGTAGACGTATTGCAGTGTATCATAAGCTACTATTGCAGATGGATGTAGAGCACCGAGGTGGGGACATCAGGGACATTTATGCTCCATCTCTATCTCCCTTAAGTAGCTACTATTCTTATCGACGCCTATCCTTCTCTCATTTCGGCTGCTCCCGCTCGAATTCTTCACGTTCGTTTGACTCGCGCAGTTTGTGAAACGTAAGGTCTGTTAGATTAAAAAGTCCGTGAACTTCTCTCTCGCTTTAACTTGTTGCCCGAGTGCGCAGGTAAAGCGAACTGGCCTTCGAGAGGAACACACTCAAAAGCGATAGTATCAATTAGAAAACATTTTAAAGATAATTATGAAATTCAATTGTTACAAAATCTTCAACGATTATTCAGTTCATTGCCTCGTAACATCTGAATAATATACCCGAGTCAATTGTCCGCTCTCATTCGCGTCAAAAAAAAAAAAAAAAAAAAAAAAAAATTCCTCTATTTATTTAAGCCACCGCTCGTTATTTCAATTCATTAAGAAGTCTTTTATTTTTAAATATTTGTAACGGATAATCATAACGTTCGTTTTATCATAACGAGCCCTTAACGTCATTTTCAATACCAAAGATATTATAAAAATGGTCTAATGGCAAAGAATTTACTTAATGGCCAGAATACCTACAAATGCTGCATCTCACATATCCCTCTCTATACAATTACATCTGCTTATTCATAATCGCTCGATGTGCTCTACTGGCAGTTTACGAATTTTATTAGAGTTCTATCATTAATGAAATTTCGTATCGACATTAATATAAATATTACGTTTGAATACGAGGGCATGTCAATACCTACATAAATTATTTATATCCAACCAAATAATTATTCCGATTCTTCATTTTATACACTTTTATTTAACGCGTAATTTAATTATGAAGGAATTTTCATCTACGGGATATTAAATAATTTTATTGATATGGTTATTTATGAAATGTAAGAATGACTCGAAATCTCACTAATGCAATAATTTAATAACGGATGTCTCAACAGTACTCGACGTCATAAAGTACATCATAACTTTTAAAAAATTTTTATTGATTGTCGACTATACGAAATTATTTTGTTAGCCATGTCGCTTAATCATAAGCAACGAGGGTTACTGTAAAAATTAATTTAATAAAAGAACAGTCGTTATGACAATTGATATGAGCTATCGTGAAAATTCATACTTGAGTTACTAGCCGCCACCTCTGCCCTTGATCTAAAATGAAAAAAGACTTAGACGTTCTGAAATTTTGCTCAAAGCAATTCACAGTGAGTTGGCATCATTCCGGTAGCTTTTCAAAACAATGATGCTGAACATACAGACGAAGAGGAGTAAAAAAGGCTCGATTAATTCCTGCTTATGAGCGCAAGAAAGACATTATTTTCCAATGCTCGAGTAATAATTAATTGCTTAAAATGAAAAAAATATCAAATGAAATTTAACTGGACCTTAAGGTCACATATTAATATTTACATAATCTATATGTTAAAAGGAAATAAAACAATGAAAATGAAAACAAAAAAAGCAATATTTCAATATTATCTATGAAACAATAATATCGTCCCCAGTGCTAATGATTTTAAATGTCTGGGCGTAGTGGGGAAACGCTTTTGTTGGCTCATGTCGAGATTCTAGTTATAGTTATATATTTCTCAAAGACGAATATGTTGAAATACATCGCACCTCGTACAATTTACGTAATAGATGAATACATTAAATCACTAAGTAAAAAAATGTATGTACCATTGCGCTTTCATAATTAGTTGATGTTGAAGAAACTATTCGATGATTACCTCGACAATTTCGCTTAATTTGTAATATTTTCGACATCTAAAAATCTAAAAATTTCGGTATACGCTTTTTGTTCAATCAAACACTGTTCAAGGAAGAAATCAAAAACAATTATACAACTAATGATTTAAAAAAGTTTGTTGACATTACATTGTGACCGACTAAATTAACTTATCAATACACAAAATATTTATTATTTTAATGTTCAAAAATTAGATATCATATAATGAAATTTGCAATTTATGATCAATAAAATAAATGGACAGTAAACTCGTATAAAATATGTTTGAAAATTTTAACTTAATAATAAAAAATTAATTTCAATTTATTTTCAGTTACATAAGATTTGACGAATGAAAAAATTACGCGAAATTTTGCCAATTTAGAATAAAACTGTCTTCGTAAAATTAGCTCCTAATCCTAATTTTCATTTGAATTTCGTAAATAAAATTTATTTACTATAAAATATTGCTAAAAACTGTCTTTACAGTTTATCTTCGATATTTTTTTTTTTTTTTTTTTTTTTTTTTTTTTAAACATTATCATCGTATTAAATATTACAAAATGTTCTTAAGTTTATCAATTAAATTAAATGTCAAGAAATAATCGTACAGATATGTTTTAACAATTTAAACAACTGAACAAGAATCAATTGTTATTATAAAAAATAATTTGCAAAAATATCTGAAGTCATATATACTTTTTTAGAACGATAAATCCAAACCGTTGGCAACTAATGATGATTTACATCTTCTTTTGTCTTTAAATTAAATTCTATTTTATGATGAAAACAAAGATATTCATCAATTTGATATATTGAATATAGTTTTTGAGTAAAAAAATATTTCTTAGCATTTCCAATACAGAAAACCGAACTTAAGACACACGCATTATTAGTCATACAGAATGACTTTTAGAGTTTTAAAAAAAGAAACAGTTAAGGCAAGCTAAAAATGTCATGTCGAGTACACAATTTGTCACGTAAAAATATATACACCGATGAAAGCTTATGTTGCTGTATAGAGAATTATCACAAAAATAAAATAAAATTACATTGGTGAAAATGTTACTTTCTATGATATGAAAGCATATTTAAAAAGTATAAAATTAAATAGAAATTATAATTATTGTGTAATAATATAAAGTTTATATATATATATATATATATATATATAATTAAATAAATATTTAAAAATAAAAAGATAGATAAAATTAAAGCAAATTCATATGGAAGAAAATATACTAAAAATTTACTGAATCGTAAGAGTAAAATATTAAAAAAATAAATTATTAAATACTCATTATTAAAAGTAATGTGAGACAAAATAACATAATAAATAAAAATAAATATACCATTAGAATGAAATATCGAATGTTTATATTCATGTTAAACAATTCGCACGTAATATGTATTTTGTATGTGAAAATACTTCAATGTTATCTAATATCACCGTATCATGATTATTGCACCATTTTAAGAAGGAACAAATCATCATTTATAGACAAACCTGTACAATAATGTATTTTCTGACAAATATATTACTAGAATTTATACAACATTAGTAAACTCATGCACTACATTTTTAAATAAATTTTACGTTATATTTATTACAATGTCGATTTATTTATGTACAAAAAATAAGGCCATAAACATGTTAATCCATAAATATGGCGCATAAAATTTCATTTTAATTTGTAGTCTTAATTTAGTAGAGCGCGCTTGAGGAATAATTGACTATTTTCCTCTCATCTTCTTTTACCGCGATGATTTCTCTATACAAAACCATAGCAACTCTATGGTTAGTCTTATCGTATAGGACTCTCTTCCTTTTATTAAATATCGCAACTTAAATAATAAAAGTTGTATACAAACATGACTCGAAATTAAACTTTTTCTTTTTAATCCAAAACACAATTTCAATCGAATTTATTAGAGACAGATGAATTTTCTTCTACAAGATATACATTTCACAGTATACTATATTATTGTGTATGTGTATGTCTGTATATATATATATATATATATATATATATCGGTATGTGCATATGTATATATATTACATTATGTATTTATACATTTTCAGGTGTAATCACGCGTTTATTTCACGTAGAACAATGCTGATTGTTTTAAATTAATCACTAAAGTTACTCTACAATATTTCATGGGCTTGTCATAAATAATTCAAACTTTTTACAGGTCAACCCAAAGCACAAAACTAACATTTTACAGTATGAATTAAGTTTTTAAATACTCATGGTATTTAGAGTATTTTGAATTCTGAAAAATGCAAAACAAGCTTGCGACATTATAGCCCAATCAGCTTTCCTCAGAATTCAAAAGATAAGTGTACTAAAATAAATAATAAATAAATCAAGATTCATTTCGCTGAAGTCACACACTCACACACTGCACATTGATTAATGCTGGCGAAAAATAAATATGGTGCTTGAACTTAGATGATTCTTTGCTTTGAAAGTAATTAAAAGAAAGTATATGAAATGATTTAAAAAAAAAAAAAAAAAAAAAAACAAAAAAAAAGTAGTTTATAGAGAATCTCTACCATAGCTGTTTCCTGGGAGTTTCAAATAAACTTCACACTGCCACTGGTAACAAATTGAACTAGTTTCGCACCACTCCTTCGCGATTCGCGATAAAACCTATGTACAAAAATTGAGACAACCTCAATGACAAATGCGTTCAAACGTTGGTCGCTTATTATATTATGGACCATGTACATTTTAAAAGATTCAGGAACTTGGATTTGGCCGGCTATTTTTCTAGTCATTCAAGGGCTATCTTGGACGCATGTATTATTATTATGAATTGACAAAATTTATTCCTAGTTATGTAATACTTTGTTTTTTGTCGCTCAACTAGAAATATTCGTTTATGTATAAAATTTATAAAATAGAAAAAACTCGAGTTTTTCTCGTAACATAATTTAATATTGCGATCGGTTTATCAACGTTCACTCGCTCACTCGCTCACTCACTCTCACTCTCTCTCTCTCTCTCTCTCTCTCTCTCTCTCTCTCTTTAGAGCCTTTTCAAATGATAACAATGTAAGTACAGGTAACATATTAGAAACTATAATAATATTAATACAGAGATACGATAAAAAAACTCGAATTTTTTTTATATTCTGTCAGTCGCAAGTTCTTAACCAAGGTAAGAACACTCGTGTCGATCAGCAAAGATGCGTTTATAGAACAAAAGAAGAAAAAAAGGAGCGTACGGAAGTTACTGTAATCGCATCGTTTCTTTATATCTTTTTCATTTTTCTTCCCATTTTCTTCTTCGTCTTTATTTCTTTTTACACCTATAATCTAGTCAGCCTTCTGGATGTT